GGGCGGGGCAGAGGGTATGAACCATTGCTTTAATAGGTGTCTGTGTTTGCCAAAATGTGCTTGCCACAGCAATGCTGCTGACTATGTTACTTTAGCTACGTTTGCTCAATACCCTATGTTACTTTAGCTACATTTGCTCAATACCAAACAGACACAAGGTACTGTGCTACAAAAGCAATCTGCACCCATTCTTAATTCCCCTCCTACTTCTTTCACAAGTCAGAGATTATCCCATTTGATTGCCTTATCAGCATTATTATCATAAACCCAGAGTGGTACTGGGGGGAAAAAATGATGCTTGGAAAGCTGAACACCCCTACAGAAGGAAATTCAGCACTCTGAGAACAGAGGTCCCCTCAGCATCTCCAGGAACAAACCAGCTGTTGTACTATGCTTATGGTCAAGATAACAGACCAAAAGCAGGAAATGTTAACCTAGTGCATTTGCCCGGGTAGTGTAAATGTAATGTTAAAGTAGCAGTTAACCCGTAAAACTAACACCGAAAGATTGTTAAAAAAATGCATATAAGTAACAATAGTTGGAATAAAGATATATTTGGCAATAGCTGAGTTAAAATGTACACTTTGGCAATGAAAATTTGCTTACAATCTGTGAAAGACTTGCAAATACTCAGCAAGCTCTAAAAGAGATCCATCGTGCCGGCTTTTGTGAGTGGTCCCACTGGAATTAATATCAATGGCATAATGAGTGGCTGAGATTCAGGCTCAAGCTCATGTTATCAGACTTAGACACACACACACACTTTTTCTCACTCTCACTCATGTCTTAAGTTTACTTGTTGCATATGCTCTTGCTCTCACGTAGCAACTGAGACTGTATTTTCCTAATTGAGCCTTACAGATTTTCACAGCTTCCCCTCACCTTCTGTCTTGAGGAAAACAGTTATTATCACAGAATTGTGATTATGAAAAAAGACAGTTGTTTTTTTTTTTAATGGTTTCTGAGTATCTTCTTCATATGTACAGCAAAAAATTGATCTAAATGATCTTAAAAGTACTTGAGAACTTAATTCTATCGATGTGCTTAAATGTTGTTCAAAGTTCAGCAGACATAATAAAATATATACCATAAATACTGTAAATAAGCAAATAAGCAACAACAAAAAAAAGTTGTAGATGGTTAGGGTATCAGGAGCAAAATAAAAATCACTACTTCAAAATATCTTACCAAATAACGGGGTTTTTTTCCCTTTTTTTAGGATGCTCACAGGATGTTTTATGTAAGCATTTCCTTTAAAGATACCAGAATGTTTCATTCAGCTAAGCAAAGTATTAATCTAGTTTTTATTATCACTATTCCTTGCAAGTCTTCTGGTTTTGAAGAAAACGGTGCATCAACGACTTAAAGTTTTGTGGATTTGTTTTTGGGGTTTTTTTTGTCTTGTATTATTCATATTCTCTTTTTTTTTGCAAAGTTCACTCTTTTGCATATGGACCTTTACTGTCTTATACCTGGGACTTTAAATGCCAACAGATACGTGATTTTATAAAGAAAGAAAAACCCAGAAAATATATTTTGAAATCTGTGTATCATATTTTGAAATCTATGCATCATATTACCATCAGGTATGACAGGCAGCTACTAATAAGACAAAAAAAATGGAAATAACAGAGATTTTTTCATCATTCACTCTCCCCAAGTTTTCAAGGTGTGGTTCACCAACAATGCTCCATGACAAAGCTTTCAGCTTGGCCACCTCTGCTACCTGATTTCTGTAGAGACAGGACAGCTAACACTGAGGTACTGCCAACTTTTTTATCTTCTTGACGTCAATGATATTTCTGAAAAATCAGTATACTTAAAATAACCACAAAAGCCTCCTGTAAAAGGTCAGATTGAAATGAGCACTACAGATTGGAGGAAATCACACAATCCAACATTTATCAAACCATTTTGTTGGGGAAAATTTGACTGTCTGGACTAGAATATATTTCTTTGCCAACAAGCAACAATTCCTTTTGCAATACATTCTTCTTTTCAGTGCTAGTTTTAGTGTTAGAAGGGCTTGTTGCTCCTTAGTCTGTGCAGGTATCATTTCTCTTCTTAGATCCTCACCTACATGGGATTTGAAAAATGTTGTATTCCAAAGCCCAAATCCTAAGAGCTGTCTACTTAGGGAGAACTAACAGTTTGTTTCTTTGTTCTCTAAGGCTGTGCTTAATTCAAGGCCAAGTAAGCATAGCCTGTAAAGAGATGCCCATGGCAGAATTTGTGCCCAAGTTCATCTGGCAGCACTTTTCTATGTTGGTAGGGTCAAAGTGGCAGGCAGCACCCTGGGAGCAACCTGCAAGCAGTTTTGCCTGTAAAGGTGAGTGGATCATGGAGCGTGCTTGTATTCATCACCAAAGTTTTCTTGGTCATCGCCTAGAAATCTTTTTCCCCCCTTTCCTTTCTTTTCATAATTTATGCCCAAGGGTCTTGTGTGGTGGGTACTGAAAAGCAGAATTCAGCAAACACTGGGACAGTGCTTCAGCCGATATAAACTGGCATTGCTTTAAAGGGGACTCGAGTGATGACTGATTAAAACCATTCAAGGATATTCCTAGACAGGCAGTTGCGATATAATTTCCTAACGCCTGTCAATGCCCTGAAAAAGCAACACTCTTTGTAGTGTGAGAATAAATCACCTCCTCTGTGCTATACTAGCTCAGTTTGGATTCACTCTTGGCAGTACATTGAAAACTGCGGCAATTACTGCATGATGGGGATTTATAATGTGAATCACAGCTCTTGAGGAGATGAGGTGAATCCATTAGCTAATTTTCCATTGAACCATTTAATCTAAAAGGGAAGAAATGACAACACCTTGCTTCGCCACCACAATTCTTCCAGATTTTAAATATTATTTCAGAAAAATTGCAAAAAGGAGAAGTAAAGCAAAAATATTCAAGGCATTTAAACTTCAGATTTGTAAATAGCACCAATTTTCAAATTCCATAATTACCCTTCCAAGCTAATACTCCAAACCCCCAAACCTTCTAGCAATCCATACTACAATACAGTGCATCAAAAGGCATTTTGTACACAACACTTATACACACTCACACTCACACACATACTTACACAAACTATTCAGAAGTACATATACTTTCATGTGCACACAAATGTCCAAGAACTATTTAAAATTAGTTTGAGAGTGAGTAGCTAATACTGCATCTGACAGGCTCCCAACCCACAGGCTTTACAGGTACAACCCCCACTAAATATCGAGTGTTGCAGATAATCCTGTACATGAAAAAGGTGAAAAACTGATATATCACAATTATGCTGATTTGTTTACACACCTATTTAGACACACACACCTCTAGTGTTACCATAATTCATTATATACCAAGAGATGTAAATGAGAATAATGAGTAATTTATTAATGGCTTTTATTGTGTTTGCCTTTTTTTCATACAAAAAGAAACTCTCTTTTGTGTAAATCATTCCTAATTATTCTGTTATTTAGTCGAGAAATATATCTTACCTTAGTGACCTAAATCTACACCAGCCAATTAGTCAGAAAAGTCTCTATAAATAGTATGGTTATTCATTGTCCAAAACCACCACCACCTCAGACATTTATTATTATACTCATCTATACCTCTAACAGCATCATTTTCTTTGTGTTAACCACTAAGCTCCGCAAAATATGACCTTTAATTCTGCAAATGACATTTTCATTTTTAAAGCCTAAGATCAGTATTCCCTTAAATTTACAAACCCTTTGCATTTGACAGCACAGCATTATCATTCCAGGTGCTTAATTAAGGTAGTTTCTAAATTCAGCTTACACTAAAGATAACCTGAATGTGTATGGGAGAAACGTTACACGCGTGTTTTGATCAAATGCTGTCACATATTCCTCTGGAGGCCCGCTAAAACAGATACTGTAGCTCAATGCAACTTTTTTAGAGGTGGTGTAGGGGTGGAAATAATTAAAATGTTACCTTTGCCAAGTAATTCCCAATGTATCCTCACTGGCACTGGGGTATAAATGCCTGCCGTTTTGATTCATGGTCCAGTCACAAATTCTCAGCTGTCAATTGAAACCTAGCAGTCAGATATGCATCGAGCAGTACTACAGTTTTTAGTATTTAAATGAATACATGCAAACTAGTACTGTACATGGCAAAAGCCTTACTTTCCCAAGAAGTAACTTTAAAAAATAAAACAAACAAACAAAGAAAAATAACTTATTCTGAGAAATAAATGCCTATAGATTTGCTTAAGATAATGCTACTTTAATATGCTCCTCTATTAATAAAGCATAAAAGAGTAACTAGTGTTTAGCACATAACAATTAGCCATTATTAGATTACAAACTGAGCTGGAATAAAAGGAAATGTTAATATTCAATAGCGAGATACTTTAAGAAAGGAAATAAAAATGCTTTTTTCTCTAAGCAATGCTCTATATAATGTGTATTAAGTAAAGGTCAAATATAATCAATATCTTGTAGCATGCATTTTGTGAAACATAGAAGACATGCAATTTATAGAAAATTTGCCCAAATTAAACAAACTGTATGTCCTTATCTTGCTATTTGAGAAGGGTAAAGGTATTGTGTAATTGAAGTTTATTAATCTAGTGTTACTGAAAGTGGCATTATTTAGCAAGAGGCGATAAAATAGTCTAATCTTGCCTTAGACTCAGAATAGTAGCATTTAAAATATTTTATTGGATTTTAATATAAGGAGGAATGTACTAAATGTTAGCTGAAACAAATTCTTCCCAGATCCTCAAATCATCAGTTGTGCCTTCATGGATTGTTCAAGCAACCCTCTATAGCTCTGTTTATTTAACAGCTGCCCTATAGTGTTAGCAGATTTATTGAAAAAATATACTGCTTATTTTTAAGTTTATGAAAGTGAACTTATCTGGCTTGTGAAGAAAACATACATTTTAACCTCTGTATAATCATGCTGTGTAAAAATTGCTGTACCATTATATACCATATATGTGCTGTACCACATGATACAGCACTCTGAATTGAAGATAAAATGTGGTTGCTGAGTTTAATTGCATTTGATGCATTTTAGTTTTCTCTGTCCATATTCACAGTCTTTAGATAGCACAGGCTACAGCAAACAACTATAATAAACTATTTTCACAGGAGCACAATTAATTGCAGTCTTTTCCTGAAAAATACAAATGCTGAGGACAAGACAATATTGCAAACCTGACCCTGTCCGGCTGTTAGACTCATAAGCTTCCTGCTGTTAAGGTCTGAGAAATGGAAATGTTAGTCTCTGATGTTTTCATAGGGATTGTTTCTTGTTTGTTATCTAAAGAACTCCAAGGGACCTTCTAAAGGCCATTAAAAGCATGACTAAACCACATGAAATTAACCAGAAAAGGAAACATGCAGTCAAAAAATTTGCTAGAGGTAACTGTGAATAATACATTAAATATGTTTAAAGAAAGGGGTAAGTAAATATTTGGTTTAGTCACTATACAAAACAGTATTGTAAACCTGATTTTAATATTGAAGACAGTAAAATATGTCAGCTCAGTTACTCAATGTACGGTAGATGTATTTCTGCTATAATCCTTAAGAATGTCATCATCTTCATTACAGATGCATATTTTAAAGCTTTATAACTTAGCTATAAAAACTCACTTCCAGCTGAAACACAAGACTGAAAGGTTAAAACCCCCCTCTTTTCTTCTTTCTCAAAATATAAAATCTATGAATAAAAGCCCTTTGGCTGATTAGACCATAAAAAATAAAAAATACTAAAATCACAAACTTAGTGTTACCAAATTATTTTATGTGCTTAGGTCTAGCTCAAAAATCTGGCAAGCACTTAGCTTGCTATAGAACCTGCATTTGCAATTCGGGGAAAACAGTAAGGGGTTGATACATTACGTTTTAGTAAATCAGCTTCTGCACTAAATCATCATATTCTTCCCGCAGTCTGTATGAAAACTTTCCACATGTACAGCTAATGTGTTAAATTTATCATTAAGAAAGCTCCAAAAAGAGCTTTTCAAAACCTATTTCATGAATTTTAATAATGGCATACTTCATATTATATACAGTCATACGTACCTCAATACATATATATCTAAATACTGTAATGGTAATAATAGAACATGTGCATTTTATATATAAGCTGTAGACACATACAGGCACATGTATATGAAGATTCATGCTACACCAGGCTTATAGTTAGTGTAAACTGTAGTGCTATTCACTGCATCAACTGTGCCATACTGACAACACCTTGAAGAACTACAGGTCTACATGACAATAGGTTCTGTGATAAGCCCAGGACTGCATCAGCTGTGCTGAAAACCACCTTCCCTATGCTAAAAATTATTGCTCCACACTCCTCAGCAGGCTCACATAGCTGCCATGCTGTCTTTAAAAACTAATATGCCAGGAATTTTTTTTTTTCCTCCCTCCCATAAAATTTCCTCTCCCAAATCACTCCTGCTTAGAGATCAAGATGTCTAAGATTTAGAAATACACTTTTGAAAGTATGTAGAAATATCACTTTCAAAGTCTGCGTCTGCATCCCTCATGTGTGTTGAGTGTTTTCTGGGTAAAAAGGCTGGAGAAGCTTAAAAGAGTTCTACGAGCCCTGGCTCCATTTGATGGAAGAAGACGTCTGTTCACAGCAGCAGGGGGAACGCTGCCCTTGGAGGATGTCCAGACAGCCCAGTAGGGAAAAAAAAAAGACCTGACGTGAATACCAAGCTTTGGAAGGATGTAGGGCACTTTAGTATTTTTAGTGCTCCATGTTGCCTGGAGTCATGCTGAAAGCCTTCTGGCTAGTTGTAGTCCTCAGAGTAACTTAAGTGACCTCTAAAATCATGCCACAGTGTTAGCTGGAGACACTAGAAGGCACATTCACTCTCACCCGCAATAAGTCACCTAAAAGAGTTTCTCTGCAGGACGTGTGAAAGGGAGAGGCAGGAAACCACTTGAAGGCTACTTGACAAAACTTAAATTCCTCAGTAGAGGGACTTAAGAAATAGTCCTCATGAGACGTTTAATAAATGCTGAAAAATATTACTAACTTTCTCAAAAATATGCTATGAATGCAAAATAAATGACCTGATCTGGCATGTGACATGGGGAAAAGTCTTTCCTAGAAGCCTGTTGGACAGGCCGGCTCCTCAGTCCCACGGCTTTGTCGTTTTCAGCAAGGCAAGCCACATTAATCCCACTTCAATAACACCTTCCATCCACAAAACGTTGTCAATGATTTTTTTATTTTTCTCTCACCTAACCACACAGAAAAGAACATGGGTCTGTATTCTGAAGTGGAAAAGCATGGCCAGCCTTGCAGCAGATGGGGAAACCTCACAGGCAGCCCAGCCAATTTCCTGACACGTGGAGCTGCAGCGGTCTCTCGTCCCTGCAATACGTCCTTGCTGCTGCACTCATGAAGTAGCAGAGAGCACAAAGCCACTGCAAGTGTTTCTCCAGGGAGGCAGTGCAGCTCCCTGAGCACACCCGCCTCAGCCGTGTCATGGGAAAGGGACCACCAGCCCAGGCAGAAGCAGAGCAGTGGACCGAGTGCTTCTCCTAACTCTTCCACCTGCCTGAAGGTCATCCACCTTCCTGCTCCTGTTCTGCCCTCTGTAAAATTCTAGGAAAGTGATTTTGGTTTGCTCTTTCCAGTGCTGTGAGACGTACTGATGTGAAGTTCTACCCAAGAGCAAGATTTCACTGCAGCTGCCTTTTCAGTTTAAACTGGGCACCTTCCAAGCACAATCATCCTGCAGAGTTTTAAGTGTGCAAGTCCTACGTACATGAAAAACCCATAGTCAACAGCTCAATCTTTAATCATAGTCTGAATAATTTTTACAGGTTAATATTTAAGTAGGTTTTGTATTCTCCTTAGTGGCTGCCTAAGACTAACATTCATTTCAAGCTTCTGTGATCGCTAGTGAAAGTAGATACATGTTTTGGAAAGTGTAATAGCAGACTGTGCTATAGCTTCTCTTAGTTGAGAAAAGCCCATAAAACTTAACATTTGCATATTGTCTTTGTTTTGACTGAAACTTCCTTTAAATGTGTTTCCTTTCCAGCAAGCATATGTGAAAGGTGACCTCTTATCCATTTACATACCTCCCTGGTGGTCATGTGACCCAGTTTTACGTCAAACTGTCAATTATGATAAGGGACACAATAAGAACAGCCTAAGTGTTGATAACCTGTTTCCTGGCTTTACTGAGGAGTTCTGTTTAAGAGTCCACTTGTGTTCTTCTTTCAACCTTCTGCTGAAAGCAAAAGCAACATCCACCCAAAACATTTTGCAAACAGATACTCTGTGTTCAGTGGACATTTAAGTTTACAATTTCCGTGATGAATAGCATGAAGAGAACTCCATTTTGAACTGTGTGATTCAGTAACTAAAGGATGCATCTGGTAAGAACAACTTCCTACTGAAGAGGCAGGGCAGTCTGGTGCATAGGAAATAAAGAGCAATCTACAGTTTTCTGATTTTGCATTTTAGAGACCTGAAGTGTTTCTTATTACTACGTACATGGCAAATGTCTCACTCATAAATGTCAAAGCTGTGTGAAAATCATGCAAACCACACACCACACCTGGAAAGTCCAAGCTCTAGTGAAAACCATGCCATTGTATTAATCAGTGCAAAGGCTGGAGGAGTTCACTAGCTCCTCAGTAATTGGGCCAGCATTAGTTAGCATGGTTTACTGTAACAGACAGGAAAGTTGTAGAGGTCATTGTCTTCACAGACCTCAATAGCTGTCCCATCTACTTATATTTTCTAATTAAAAATAGAATCACCCATACAAGACTCCAAGGTGCATTAAAATTAAATAAATGGCCAAGAAAGAAAACCTGTCAGTTATTTCATTCATTCCAACAGAAACCTTCTTATCTGTGAAACCATTAACCTGTATTTGCAATAAATACAAATGTCTACCTATCCATCCATCCATCCATCCATCTTTTTATATTGTTTACATAAGTAAAGTGCATGACTAGCATTTCTGGCAACATTCTAGCTTTATAGCCAGAAAAAACATCAATCTGTCTCTAAGTGTCTATCATTTCAAGAACATAGTAAGTTCATGAAGTTGGGAACAGTAACACAAGGAGGCTACAGAAATGCCATCACATAACCATGAGAATCCTGATCATTAAGACTTTGTTACTGAACTAATGATCTCTCCATTAAAATTATTTAGCCAAAAGAATGGAGACACAATTAAAATCTGGCAAGGGACTGTGTCCACTTGTAGAAGATTGAATTTGACTGAGTTTCCTCAATTTGTTGCTTTTTCCTCTAATCCAGTAGAGGAAACCACGAATCTTCAGTAGATGCAAATCAGAGAAAGAAGGGGGGAAAAAGGTGCTCCCATATAATTGTGAAGATTATCCAACCTTTCTTTTATGCACAATTCATTTAAGATGTTTCTCAGCACAGATGATGAGCACCAAGTACTAGATTTGACTTCATAAAATAATCCTACCAACCACCAACAGTAAAATTAAGATAAACTGTCTCACTCAGGTACTAGCTCTTATCACTTCCCTTGCCCCTTCCTATGGTGCCCTCCCTGCAGTTACATTATCAATACTTAACAACTCCCAGAAGTTGATGCTGAACCAAGACAAGCAAACCAAGTGGTCATTAACTATCTGTAATAGACAGTTTGGGGGTGGGGGGGGCTGACATGACTTTTTTACAACAAAATGATAAGTTATATGTGACTCTCTAGATGCCAATGAAGCAAGAGGTATGTTTTGTAACTATTCATGTCACAGTATAGAAATACCTGGTATTTCAAGGCAGGTAACAGGAAGACCCACCAGCAATTGCAGCAGAAAGTGGACTGCATAGTTATAATTCCTCATTAGAACCTTGTCTTCCTAACTATCAATGTAGCATGCTAAGTAATTCATGTAACAGCTTATTTTTCACAGTATCCAGATCAGTAAAAGCAAATAAACTGCTCCCATTGGCACTACTATGCACTGTCTTTCAAAGTTGTATTCAATGCTTCCCATCTAAATGTGAGTATTCCAGGTAGGCTGTGCTATAAGTTGTTTGTCGGAAGTTCTAGCAAACTATCACTTTGTCAAAAGACTCCATGTAAGTGCGTGTTGCAAAATACATGTGTAACTTCTAAATTTATTGTGGTTACAGTAATTTAAACAGGCTACATAATGGTGCTTTTTAACAACAACAAAAAGTACTCAACGGTACATGCCAATATTTCTCATAACCAGAGAGAATAAATCTTCATAAAGACTCCTCCAATGAAGTAAAAAATGTACCGGTGACAATATTTATTCTTGAGGGGTCAATGTGCATTACAGGGTATGGTGAATGTTTAAAAGACCTCTCTGGAACTAAAACCATTGGCTTTCTAATTTAGAATTTCTCTCCGCTAATACAAAATGATTGATTGCCTTTATTTCATGTACCCCTTGATTTTTCTTTTCATTCATCATGGGCTGCTTTAAACCAAATGCATTTAAAATCTGCCACAGGAAGAGTGGTCTCTTTTAAATTGTTGTAAAGTAATGAAAGGACATCGTAAATCAATTCCATTTCTGCCTTACCAAAGGATAACCTTTGCTCTATTAAAGTTGTTTAGACAATCTCAGTGCTCTACCTCACTTTCTGGGTAATAAGCATATATGGCACTGTCATCTCAGAGATGCCTTTAGGATTTAAGTGAGTGAAGGTAACTAATTCATTAGAAACTTATATATACGCACTTATATATTCATATTTATCCATCTGAAAAAAGCTTTGTTGTTAAAGTATTCTGTTCTTTCAAATGGTTTCAGCAGTACATACTATTCCCTAATTTTGCACATATTTATATGTATAAGCATCCACACACGCACACCCCCCCCAAACACACTCAGGCAAGCATACACATGTATCCATTGCGTAAGTTAGAAAAGAATAGAGATTTCACAGCAAAGATGAAAGCATGACACAATTTTTAAATTTACTATATGGCTTACCAATTGATATGGTCACTCACCACTATATGGTCACCAACTGATGCTCTTGAATCAATAAAATGAGACTGTGAAGCAATATACTTTAGAAGGGAGAACATTGGTTTCACACTGTGGCATTGAAGATTTTTTCTGTTTATGAAGTGTATGTGAGACCTAATTTATTTTCCCCTTCCCCTTAAGCCATCTGGCCACATGTTTTACCATGGAAGGGAGTATAAGACACAGTGCATGTAAACACCAAAGACTGTGATGACCCTTGAGATCCCTCTCACTTTTATGTTCCTATGACACTGCTGAAATCTCCAAATTTATTTCCATCTACACAAAGCCAAAAATATATAGAAGATGCATGAAACAAGCAATATATGAATTACATGTCATAAACTCAGCCAAGGGGAAATTAAGCATGCTGCCACTACCTTCTGGCATGTGACAAGAAGCTTGTAACTCTTTCAATGAACTTGGAAGAAGGTGGAGTGGGCTTAGGCAGTAGCAAATTTGCAGAAAAAATTGTGTCTAAAAATATGTAGTGAAAAAAAATTTTTATTGCACATCCCCAAGTTAACTGGATGACAAAGACTTTTCAAAGGATACTGTGTAAAACTTCACATGAAAAGAAATCCAGAAATTATATGCACTGTGTTTAAAAAGAGACACATTGTGTGTGTTTTAAAATACAATAAACATATACTGTGTATCTTTTAAAAAGAACCATGTTATAGTAATTATAACACATTTCATAACACAACAATCTTTGAGAGGTTGAAAAAAAGGCAATACACTAGAAAATTTACTGAAAAATTAATGGTTGGCAAAACCACTAATTGTCATTTGGTATTTTCATAAAAGTGTACAGATGTTTCCAGTTAGGTCTCACTGGTTAAAAAAGAGTTGGCAAAGCATCAACTATCTTGAATAAATGATCATCTTTATGATTTTCTCTGAACTCTGCATGTGGTGACCTTTAAAACGGACATACTGCCACCTTGCCCTGGGAGTGGGTAGGGATAGGGAGTTCCAGATGAAGCACACTTCAGCTATATCTCAGCAAACACAGAACAGGTAGGTTTACTGAAAAATGAAACAGGCATGTGTACCAACTGTTGACAGGAACCCAAGCCTGAGAGAAAAATACAGTACAATAAATACCAAGGACTATTTAACAGCCCTTTTCCTACTGCCACATTCAGCTTTTTTCCTTATAACATTTTACATGTTGTTAATTTCGAAGTCGTCTACTGTTAAGATCTAGGAGCAACACAAACACACATCATAAAATACGTTAAAGTTCTAAAGGGTCTGAATTTATTCATGTTACTAGCAATGTAGCATTTCTGTATATGCATGGCCTTGCTACTGACTGCAGCTAATTTGTTTGTAAGCCATCATTAATCTCGGCTGTATATTTTCACAGTTTGGGTAAACACTTCATTTGCATTAAATTTACCGCATTAATGAGATGTGAAATTCAAAATGCTACTTGAAACATAAATGATGTAAGAAACTAGAACAAAAATGTGGTTTTATCATGTTTGAAATCAGCAGACCAATTTAAACCTATTAAACTAGAAATGATGATGTGTTGCATTGAGAATTTGGTTTTATAACTCATCTTCTAGAACTAAAATGAAGAAATGTAGGCTTAAACATCTGGGGAAAAAAAAACAAAATAGCTTGAAAATAATAAGTTGGACTTTTTGCTTTGGAAATTTTGCTTATTTTTTAAACTGATTTTGAAATGAGTATTTGTTTCTTACATACCTCGTTCTCTTTCCTAAAATCCTATTAAAGTTTACATGTATGAGCTCTTGAAAAATAAAATAATTGAAAGAAATATGATTAGAAGTTCCTTAAGATGGCACAAATCTAAGAAATAAAGCATATGCTAAATTGATGTTTCTTAAAGGATTCAGTTTTGTTTTGAATAAACTTCATCTTCACATGACAAATACTGAAACCCTTAGGATCCCAGTCTAATCCAAGATAACAGTGGCAGCACGTAGGAAGGTAATATTGCAAAGCTTCTCTAAATCATTACACCTATGTGAAACTTGCCCACCTGTTGCTGGTGTAGGAAGGATGGGTCTCTTGGGCTTAGTCCCACATATCGATTGGCTTGGGATGTGCCTGAGGCTGTGTAGGCTGATTAAGGAAGAACAAAACAGATTGATAAAAATACCAACCTATCATAACTATTACCCTGTGCAGGTACAGTACAAATATGAGAGATCCAGAGTTATGATTTTGCAATATATAGGATGCGTCTCTGTTTTTCCTTTATTTAAACTTTAATAGAACGCAAAAGAAAAATTGGACCAAAAATTGGAAAGATGTGTAAATTCCTATAAACTTCAATGGAAGCTGCATGTGTAAGTCATAATGATGTCTCCTGTTAAATAGAAGTTCCTCTGATTAATATATTTTTAATTTTTTTAAAGTGATTAAATAAAGTCTGTATTCGAAGGAATCATGAGCCTGCTTCTCATTTCCATTACACCAGTCTAAGGCACCAGTGAAATCACTGAGATTACAATGTTGAGAGAAAATATTCATGCACACTTATTATTCTTACTGCTGTGAAACCCCATCACAAGACTGTAAAAAAACAACAAAAATTGTGTCCTGGTTTCGGCTGGGATGGAGTTGATTTTCCTCCTATTCTTCCTAACTTTATATCAAGAGTTCGGTTTACTTATGTGTCATGAAATGAATCTTTACAGGTCTTTGGAAACAGGATATAATCTGATTTGTATTTTCATGAGAAGGGAGCTAATTTTTACTATGCAATATAATATTAAATATTCGACTCCCCTGTGCAACAAGAAACAACATTTTCCCAAGAGGACAATTTAAGGAAGTCTTTTGCTGTCTGCTACGGAAGATTAAAGAAATCCCTTCCGAGGAGAAAGGGAATGGTAGGTGATGCTGGGATTAGTTACAGGATATGGTCCTTCACCTGTAGGTCATATTCCTGTCTGGTCTCTGTCAGTAATCCCTAAAAGCCATTAGCCTCTCATGGCTTTTGGTGGCACTTAAGAAATGAGGTAGGTGGTCTTATTCCACTTCCCAGTGTGGAGATATCTGCACTGCAACTTGCAGCACCACAACCTGGAAACTTGCTGGCAGACAAAGCAAAACTACTAAAATTGAACAGCCATACACAAGGATGCCAGTGAGGAGCTAGATGGGAGTACTTACTGAATTGGCCTGTTAGTATTAAAGTCACACAGCAAATACAAGCAAATGAAATCGATTAAATTAAAAAAAAAAAAAAAAAAAGGCTTTATACAGTAAACAGGCTTTACTGAAAAACTGTCATAAAAATTAATCTGTTATTAGAAGGAAATTATGGTGGAGACCACAGGCTTCCCCAAATACTATCAAAGCCTGCTGTTCTTTCTCATTCAAAACAACTCTGCTATTGCACTTCAGAATGAAAAGCAGTGCTAATCATTTGTCTTTTTATTCTCATCAGACTGAATAATAATGATAGTTTGTTGGCCAAACATATGGGTTTTATACATATCTATATATAATTTGAACCATTCAATCAGTTATTGCAAATAAAAGTAAAACTATGCCTTAAAATATATTTAGTCTTGATTTTGCCATTAAGTTAACATTAGCACTCTGTGTGGCAAGTCTGTTATGACTGATAATACAGTTTGTATGTATTCATACATAATTTATATTAGCAGCAGGACATGATCCCTCATTTTTTGCTATTTTCTTCATCACCAAGCTACGTTCCTTCACTTTTTTGCTCTTAGAGTTACCAATCCATTTTCAAAAGGCTTTACCAAGCAGACTACTGCACTACTCTGAAGACCATAACACTCTGAACTTTATAGCATTTATACGCTATCTCATGTGCAGAACTGGCACATTCAAATAAAATTTGTTCATAGGGTTTTTTTTTATTATTATTTACATGCTGTAGTGACAGACTTTGGATCTTTAGGCAAGAAATTACTTGCACACTGTTGTGGAAGTATGAGGGGGTTATTTCAAATATCTATGCCAAGGTGTTCTACGTTCATGGGGAATCAGGTATCCAAGTTCCAATGAATTGCACGAGAAACTGGGTCCCAACTTCATTTGAAAATATGGTCCAAATTTTTCCCTTAGTAGTAGGACAATGAACAGATTAGGTTTGCTTTCCTGTAATGATGAATAACATGGTCAGATTACCAGAGAACATCCCAACTCAGTTCTGACATTGTATTTGTTCTTTTTGCAATTTGTATCAGAAACCCTGACCTCATCTGAGACAGCTATTTAGGCCAGGCACGATCATGTCAAACAGGAAGCAGAATGAAACCATGGATACTTGAAACTATGCACGAACTCAGTTTTCTCAGTTTTCTACTCTGGACCAAAAGTTTAGAGCAACAGCTTCTTGTTTGCTACTAAAACTAACTCTTCTTAAAAGGTGCAAGAATTGTACCACAAACGACCAAGGAGGATACAGACATACTCTACCACATTTTGACAAAAATTCTGCTACACTAAAAGAACAGCTAAAATACCTCCCTAAATCTATCCATATAATATTTGTTTATACTTAAACAATAGTTTGTCCAAAGGTTACTACTATCCTTTTATAAGAAAGGCATAACCAGTTTTCCTCCTTTACATCTCGGCCACTCTTATGCATTTGAGTCTCATCTCTGCTTTACATTCTAATGAAAAGATTTAAAGCAGTATAACATCTAAGAAACATAGAGTTTATGGTCTCTGTTAATGACAGACCAAAAGTTAGGGACTAGATTCACAGTTCAAATACTAAACAGGTCCAAAGCAAGTCATTTTAATGTAACAGACCCTAAAGAGATTAATATTTTTAAAGACTGGTAAGTTTTCTTCCAAAGTGTATGTTTGGAAATGTCTCCTAAAAATCTTCACCACTCTGATAAATACTGGTAACACTGGCCATCTCAAGTCCAAATAAAAGTTCAAAGACAACAGAAACACAGAAAGTAGTTAAAAAACAACATTCTGCATCACTGAGCATAAGATGAGTACTTGGAAGAGAAGAAATTACCCTATACATAGTAACACCTTTGCACTTATTTCCAAAACTGCAATTCCATTGAAGATAATAGGATAAATAATATGGTCCTCTGTAGTAATAAAGAGCTTAAAATGTTAAAGTTAGGGTTTGTTTGTTTGTTTTTTTTAAAAAAGAACAGTGGATCTACCATCCATTGCAGCAATGACAAGGAATTAAAATTTTCTTTTGCCACATCAGTTGCTTTTGCTAAAAATGACACAACCTATATGAACATGCAATTGTCATAGCTCGGATTCAGTATGCGTTGTAACAAGGCTTGATTTCTGTAGGAAAGTTCATTGAGGAGCAAATTATCCAATCTCTGTTTGGAATTCCGTCTGTGGGTCATTGTAAAACCTTGCTGTCTCGGTGTGCTTCTCAATGTCTTAACAATGTCCACCTTAGATGAAAACCATGTTTTCTTTTTCTTGAATAGTGGTCAAATATGCAGGCTTTTCCCTTTCATTTTGGCTGTCATGTCACAAACTTTGGTTCGTGTAACATGATGCATGGGTTGCAATTTGGGGAGGAAAAGCTTTGTAGTCAGATCATGTTTGCTCTCCATGTAAAATGATGAGCGTCCACTTGGTCAAATAGTAGGAAAAGGCGCCTTTTTCTGGCCTCAATTTGAAATCATAATGAATCTTCGATGGACATTTTTTGTTTCCTAAAGAAATACTTACTGGTTGCTGTAGGTGAAGATGCCTCACCTTCAGTGGATGTAGTGATGGGTTTAGTATCTGTCATGGTCAGGGTCACAGGTCGCACCGCACTGTGATGGGGAGAGGGTGCCAAAACTGGAGTAAAATGGCCAGGCACTTTCCCTAACTGCTGTTAGGCTACAAAACAAAACCAAAAGAATGCCTTGTGAAACATACACATTGCGTTTAAGGAACCTACCCGCCTATCTTAGGGTTTTCCAGAATGCCCATCACCGTAGTACCTGCATGCTGGAATGCGCCGTTCTAACAAGGCTATGAATTTCTATGTGGTATTTTTCAGCAGATCGCTCCTCAGATAGGTAGTACATGCTTAAGTAGCAGTACTTTTTGGTAAGCTTTATTTCTTTCTGGATGCAGCATGCATCAGATTGTGTCAAAATATATTTGCTGTTCACGCAGTGGCTGTGAACCACAGTAAATCCCACGATAGCAGGATTAAACTGACCAGGCATAGGCCCTAACGTACGAAGTATTAAGAGCAAATGAATGATGCAAAACCTCTGTTTTCACATGCCATACCACTCTGGCTTGGAGCATAACCAAGACTTGACTATAGCTGTCCACAGAGATTATGCATACTGGAAGGCTAACTAATAATTCACAGGTTTGGGAGTGGGGGAGAGGGTTAGGATACGATGCACTATAATGCATACATCGTAACATCTGGACAAAAGCCGCCTACCAAAAACAGAGAAGTGTTTAATAATGGGAACTTTGCAAGTCAGGAGCATAATAAACAAAGACATTTCTTTCATAGATACAAGAGGCAGTCTGTATATGACCTTATGGTACAGGTCATGAAGGTAATATGCTCCTTTCTGCATATAGGCACATCTGAATTTGGCACTGTTCACTCATAAATGTGTATGTTTATCCAATGCTTAAACCTGTCCTCAGACATTCTGCAGGACTGTAAATACTCCAATGGTAAATAACTTGCAGTAGGAATTAGCAAGTAGTAAATAGTTTTGTCAACAGTGGCTGATAACTTTTGTCTTAAACAGATTGTGTGTTCTGTGAATCATAGGTATTTTAAAATACAGCCATACAAAGGAAAAAAATACTGGGAATCTTATTATCAGAAGAATCTTGTCAAATTTGAGATAACTCAGTGTAAAGAAATGGACTGATTAAGGACCTGATTCAACTGATACAAGGAAAAGTTAAAAGAGGTAGACATGACTACAGTAATGAAATAATAACTGGGCTGAGACAATTACTGCAAGTATGTGCAGAGTATAAACACACAGAAGCGGAAGGAATTATTTGGAAAGTACAGGAAGTATAAACTCGGGGTAATGGAATGAAATTGAGAAGCAGGAAATTTAAAATTAATAGCAGGAGAAACTTCCTGGCAGTATGATTTACTAGACTTTGCAAGTGCCTCCAAGGGAGAGTCTTGCTCTTTAGGACACCTAAAACTAAACTAGAAGAAAACACTAGAAAATACAAGTGCAAATGGAGACCTATCTTGTATTCATAGGAACATTAAGCAGTTAGCAGACTATTTCTCTCTCTAAATCACAAGCCTTACAATGAAAAATAACAGTAAAAGTGCACATTAATGAGAAGTGGCCAACAAACTACCCCTCTAAATGGAAAAAAGTCACCCCCTAAACATAACAGTATGTTTGAGGGGGAGGGAGGGGAGTGTTGGAGCAGGGTTGGGGACAGAAGAGCCATGGAATCCCAAAATCTTGCGAATATAGAAATTGGGTGTTATTTGCCACTTTTTCATTCATGCTCCTAGTTGCACAAGCTGAGAACTTACTACTAGGAGTTTAGTAACAGGAATAAGTGTCAGCTGTCAAAGTAGATTCAAAATAAGAGAGCAGCACAGATTGACAGGAATGACCATACTTTCACAAATAACACAATTTCCCCGAATAACTGGCATGCTACATTAAGTTTTATTTACTAGGTGAAACTTAACAGTTGGATAGATCTCGCTTGTTACGTGTACTTGAAATGAAAATGAGATGTGGCAGAATATATACAAGACAATTTCTAGAGAATAATGTGGCCTAAAAGTTTACTGAGCGTCTGCTTGCATGCTTACATGACCAATGGGTCATAAGTAGGGAACTCACTCAGTAGTTACAGAGGTCTTTCCTCAAGAATACAAATTACATCTTTATATTACAGCAAACAGTCATATATTAAGTATGTGTCAATAAGTCCACTTTCTTTGACATCTATCTTAGCAGTGGCTTAGGGAATTTTATTTTGTGGGCTCTATTTTAAAGGCCTGCCAGCCTCTAAAACCAGGTGTCTTGGAGACCAGAAATCTGACTCCACCTTACAAAATGAAAATTTTAACTAACATAAATTCAGAAAACCTCTAAGAGTTACTTAAAATAAATTCCCCATACAAATGACCCAAGATACTGCAAAACTTAGAGGCAAGTATCCTCACTTGCTGATTGCAAGTTGTACAGAGTTCAACTCGAGACATCTCCATGTTACAATAAAACAGGCTCTGTCATAGGTAAGGGAGCCGTGATGCAGTTTGAGGCACTTGTGGGGAAAACTGTCAGAAATACAGGCAGTCCTTATGATAAACTTTTCTCTAAAACACCGAAATTCTTGTCAGTAAGACCTGCTTGCTACTTTGGATTTTCAGTACGTTTCTGGGGAGCCTCCTGCAGAGGCAAGCCCCCTCTCCTGCCCTGGCAGCCCAGCTGTCCACACAGGCTGCTGGAGGGAATACCACCTCCCAGTTGCATCTGGTAGCTCCTAGGTGGAGTCATTGACCTGTGACCACAGGGCTACCTTAGGAGCCTTAGCTCATATGGTGTGCTAACATATCACAAAACCAGCTGAGAATCCCGTACCAAAACGATCAACTTTTATTAAAAACTAAGAAAGAAGATTCCAGGGAGTTTATGGATTGAAACAGCCAGTGTCATCAGTTTCCAAAAACAGCTCTGTCTCCAAAGCCAGACTCAAATGAATTAGAAGGACACAGCTGGAGACCAGGACAATTTACAGCAATGTATCATCTTCTACTGTTCCCTGGTGATCCCGGTCAACAGGAATGCAATGGCTCACATGGACTCCAGCTTAGTCCTTGTGCATATGGTCCAAATGAGCAAACCCTTTCCTTGCTGAGTTATAGGACGAAGAATATACATATACCCCATTCTCATGTAAACCATGTTTTTCCCTGTGCGATACATAACAGCAGTGCAGTACATCATCCCACTTCATTCAAACTGAGGGTGAAATCCTGTCCTTGTTGAAATCCATGGGCAATTTGCTAGTGATTTTAGTGGATGCGGTTTGTGACCCCCCCACCAAGTGTCTAAATTTCTATTTCTTTTCTTTTTTTTAATGTCTTCTTAAATGGTAGGCATTGTTCCATATCTGTCCTACACGTAAAACTGAGTGCAGACACAATACAAGAAAAATGAGGTCTCAACCTCTAGACAGAAAAATAAAACCTCCTAAGTAAGAAAAGGGAAAACTTGTTACTTCAGTAAGTTTAAGTCTTATGGTTCCAACTTTTCAGACTCTGACTGCACATTGGATTTCAAATGCAACTATAACCTAGTTACCTGCCTCTTAACAATTTTATTGCATATTGTCACATTTCCCCAGGTATCTTCTGACTGCACTTTATGATTTATTCTGCTTTTATTTTTGTAATCTCTAACATCTATTATTTTCCTTTTTCAAGTACTTTACCTCTGTTTTCACATTTGTAACATAAGATTTGTTTTAAAATTTGGCAGTAATGTCAAATACTGTATATTGCAATAGCTGTTCAGGTGTTATTGCTCAGCAAACAAGATAACACAAGAAGGCATAAGTACACACAAGACAGAGCTTGGTGTACCATGTCTAAGAACCTAACTTCTCCCATACTGGAAGCTTCCTGTATTTAAATTTTTAACTAGCCTCATTGGTAGGTAAGCACATACCTACCGGGACTTTTACATATACAATTCTTCTTCAACAATCCTAGCTGTCTTTCAGATGTGAACTAAGGTCCTCCCTTTGACACTGCTTGTCATGGGAAACAGTACACATGAAATTTTCTTAAAACTTCAGTGTTTTTCCTAGGTGTGCTATATTCGAAAACAGTTTATGAAAAGCAGTCTTGTACTCTCCCAAATTGTGTTACATGAATGTCACTCATAAGAAACTTTCCTGAAACATCCATACTTGTCTTTCTTGCATGCAGTGAACAACAGTGAAGCAGTTAACAAAACTTATACATAAGTTATCATAATTAGTTTGCAGCTTAAGATCATAAAGTAGTCCTAAATAAATAGATCATGTAATTATCTCAGAGTTATTACTTAGGCCTGTCTTCAGACTGACACTAACTTGCTGCACTGGTTTATACTCAATTCACATTTCTATGGTTATCTTTGCAAACACAAAACTAAAAGCTTTTGAAATAAAGGTCTAGATTTTGGACTGTGGTAGTTGATAGTGGTACAATCTCAAGAACACTGGCTGTCTCAGATGTCTCAAGTCCTCTGTCCTGCTTTAAGTTTTTAGTGCAAAGAGGGAAACCCTCTGGCAAGAAATTGCCCTCTGAAGTTGTCAACTCATAATCTTATTGAAAACTGGCTGCTAGAAATATTTTCTGTGACCTGTTCTCCTTTTAACTTTTGCAGTTATGTCAAAAGATATTTTAGCATGTAAACTATATATCTATTTGGACAGTATCCACTTGAATTAGAAGTGCAAATATTTATAGCACATCATTTAATACAAATTCATTTTGTCTTTATTTAAAACAAGTTCTAGGTTCTAGTTCCAGTTTTCCCTGAAGGGATTCTTACAGACAAATGCTTTACAGGTGAAAAATCAACTGTTACCATCAACTAGGGCATCAATATGTCTGTGTGATGGATTCACAGAGAGATGATGCCTGAGGCATAAACCTCAAGCAAATTGCATGGAGTCAGCTGTGTTAGATAAACAAGCTGTGCATTTGAAAATGGGAGAGGGAAAGAAGCAAACACAATGAAGGTCTGGCAAATTGAGCCCCAATTTATACAGGTATACATTTTTCTATTGTTGTATTGAAGGCTAATTTGATTTGCAGATCTGTGTCACATTTCCCAACTTTTAATTCACACCGTCTTGAATTGCCACAGATTACCCCATTCATGTGTCCAAAGCCACAGATGAGTTGTATTCACTGTCATAGCTGTAGCATAACTTAACTGAGATTGCCAGGCTGTTAATACCTGATTGTGTGCACTATGCACACGTTCAGTTAATCCTTAGGTCTGAAGCCTAACAGAAACTTCTAACAGAAGTGAATATGGACTTTCTTAAAATCAGGATTCACTACACCTGTTTTCCCTGCTGGGATTTTGCTAACGTATTTATAATCACTAATTAATCAACCTTCTCCCAGACTTCTGTTTACATATTTGCCTAAATGTCAGCACATTTACACCTTAGGTCTTCAGTTACATTTTAGGACAGTGTTTT